TTTGATGGTATCCAGTACTTCTCGCATATTATTCTCAAATTTTTGGGCCATTTTCTCAGTCTTCATGGTGAATTTTTCTAGGTCAGCCATTTTCTCTTCTACATCTGAGATTCTATTTTCTGAATGATCTAGTCTGCTTTTAATACTTTCAAGGGAGATTTTGACTTCTTGTATTATAGACTTCATCTCTAGCAGTTCCATTTGAGTCTTTTTTAAAGTGTGTAATTCCTCTTTTAGATCTTGCAAGAATTTCCTCATCTCCTGGAACTCGTCAACTCCTTTCTCCTTTCTCTTTAGAGTTCATTATCTCTCTTCTCTTCCATCTCTGTTAGCTTTGACATTATGAATGCTCTAAATTCCTTATCAGACATTTCCATGATTTTCACCGAACTGCTTGTGGATGAAGAAGAGTTACTGTTTTCCGTTGGAGGAGAGGTATTTTCTCGTTTTCCCCTATTTCTCATGATCCGGCGGTGATTTCTTGTCATCTGATGGATGGTGTGTTTCTTTCAAATTCTTGAAATTCAGCTTTACAGTTCAGGAGCAAGCAGACAGAGGTGATCCAGAATCTCTTTGCCATTCTGTTGTGATTGCGCTAGCTCATTTGTTGGAGGCTGAATTATCAATAGAAAATCTTCGTTACCTTAAAAATCTAGTTCACTGGAGCCATGTGGAACCTTCTCCTGAAGGCCCAGCTTCTTCTGCCGCTAGCTCGTTTGTTGGAGGCTGAATTATCAGTAGAAAATCTTCATTCCCTTAAAAATCTAGTTCACTGGAGCCATGTGGAACCTTCTCCTCCATTGTTCTATTTTCAGATTCACTGATTCTTTCTTCTGCCTGCTCAGATCTGCCTGTGAATCCCTTAAGTAGGTTTTTTCATCTTAGTTACTGTACATTTAGTTTCACAATTTTTGGAGGGAGTCATTTTTGGTTTTCTATGTCTTCATGGGTATTGCTATTTTGTTGCTACATCATTTTCTTGACTTTTTGTCTTTTAGCTCTTTGAGCATCTTTAAGAAAGTTGTTATGAAGTCTGTTTGTTTAGTAGATCTGCCATCGGGTCTTTTCAGACAGTTTTTCTTGTTTCTACCTTTGGGTGGGTCCTACTTTCCTGTTTCTTCATATGCCTCATGATTTTTATTATTGTTGTTGAAAATTACATTTGTGGTAACAGGAAATCAGATTGTGTCCCTTCCCTAGGGTTTTCTGGGTTTTGCTTTTATTTTTATTTTTAATTGTTGTAGGCTTCTTGCATGTTGAAGATGTAAACTTAAGGTCTTCTCAGGTCTTTCCTTTTGTTTTGTGTTTTTCTTTTTAGAATTATTTATTTAATTTATTTCTTGTTATTATTTAAATTTACTACAGGACATGCGTGCTCACCAGAGAGAGACAGAGAGAGAGAGAAAGTAAGAAATCAGACTGCCAGGTCCAGAACTAGAATTGTAGTCGACCATGTGGAAGTCCAGGGCCTTACCACCATGCCACCTCTGGCCCCATCAGGTCTTTTCTAAGCCTGCACCTCTACCTGAGAATACTTGGTGACTTTCTAATTTCCCCCATACATAAAGTTGGTTTTGAGTATTCTAGTCTTTAATGTCTAGATAGCAAAAAGGGAAAAAGAGAAAAAGGGGGAAAGAAGTAATCCAAAACGGTGACAGAATCAGACAGATTCTGCTAGCCAAATTGTCGTCCAGGTGGAGAGAGATTTCTGGTGCTTGCTAGTCTGCCATCCCAGAATTCTCCTTCCTAATTTTAGTCACTGTAATAGGTAAGTAGTAAGCAGTTCTTCATTGTGGTTTAACTGGCATATCCATAATAATTGGTGATCTTTTCATGTGCTCTTTTGCCATTTATGTCTTGTGATGGCTGGTTTTGTATCTGTATGTCTCCCTAGAAACCCTGACTAACACATATCTTTGATTTGGTAAAGTGTTTGATCAAAATGTTTGCCCATTAATTATTTGGCTCGTTTTCTTACTATTGATTCTGAGGGGGTTTGTTTGTGAGAGATTTTTGCTTTAAGGTGCATGCACTCTCTGGAGAGACAGAGAAACAGAAAATAAAAAATCACCCATTCCAGGGGACAGCCATGCCTCCATCCCTTCTTCTCCATTCTCCTCTTGGGATTTTGGGCATGCACACACACACACACGCCTGGTATGAGTTTTAAGCCATCAGATCTAAGACTCAAACCACGGTCAATTATGTGAGAGTCCAGTAACGTAACCATTATGCCATCTGCTGGTCCCAAATCTGAGTGTTTTTTTTTTATATATATTCTGGATGGAAGTCTTTGGTTTTCATTTTTTTCCCTAGTCTATGGTTTGCCCTTTCATTCTCTTAAAAATGTCTTTTGAAGAGCAGATTTTTGAACTTTTGGTTATTGTTCATGATACATCATGAGTGCACAGACAAAATAGAATAACATTCCACAGGGCCTGGTAATGCTGCAATTGCCTTCCTCCAGTCCTCCAGCTTGCCAGGATCCTGGGTACATGCATGTGGACCAGCATGTTTCAGGCTGACGAGGCCAGGGATTCAAATTGTGGTCGTTATATGGCTTTTACTCCACAGTCTTATACACTACCAACTATGTTACAGAGTCTGGGCCACATTTTTTAATATTTATAAAGTCTAATCCATTAAGTATCTCTATTATGGTTTGCTCTTTTGATGTTATGTGTAAGAAATATTTACCAGATTCCAGGTCACAAACATTTTCTCTTGTTTTCTTCTAGAGGTTTTATTAGTTTGTGTTTTATGTTTGTGTTTTGATTCATTTGAAGTGAAATATTGTTTATAGTGTAAATTAGGGATGGAAGTGTGTATTTGGAGGTGGTTTCACAGCCACAGAACTTACAAATTAGTCATACTGCTTCTCTTTTGCTTCAGATCTACCAAAGCATCTCAAAAACTACAAATGACCTTGCCTGGTACCAGATCATGAGTGAGTCCAAAATGTTACCACCACACTATCTGACAATGCCTGGGGGCTATTTTAGTATAAAACAGACTATCTGGCAGGCTTCAATGACTGGTAGTGGATCTGTGGTACAAAAGGCTATGACTGTTACCTAAAACCAGGCAGTCTTACTACCTAGTAAGATGATGTCAGACCTTACTTGGGGTTCATTTCAGAATACTAATTTCCCCTGTTGGTAAAATCAATCTCTAGATAACTCAAATGAGGAGAAAAACTGGTGCTTGAAATGAGATTCAAGCTCTGTTTCTCAAAGGAAATTCTGTACTTCTTCCTTTTCTCTTCAGTTGTTTTTAATACAAGCTTTACAAAAGGCATGTATTGCCTTTTGAAAATTGGGAGGATTTTACATATTCTGATTCAGAGAATAACAGAAGTGTTAGATAATGCCATATGGGCTATTGAACTCCTCACCTAAGAGGTTCATAAAATTGGACAGGCAGTGTTCCAGAATAGAACCACATAGATGTAATGATGGCCTCCCAGAGGGGAACATAAGCTGTTTTAAGGAAAGAATGTTGTACTTACATGCCTGTGTAATCTGGAATATTTTCTATTTACTGAAATGATCGAAGAAACAAATAAATATTAGTGTATTCCGATTGTTTTCATTTTGGCAATGTTGATTCCTGATGAGAAGTGAACTTCCTACTCTGATCATTATCCTTCTCTCAGCATTTGTCTGTGGCAGCGTTCAGATGGGTTGTCTTCGGTGTGATAAATGCTGGTGCACAGTCACTGTACCATCAAACCAATCAACAAGTGATCTTACTAAAATAAAACAAAAACAGCACCAACAGCCACAAAAAAAACCATGAAACTCTAATGCTTATAGAAATTACAAACCAAAATGACACCCAGACACCCGATTTACCACCATAATTCCTCGAATAGAATAGATTATATTAACTGATATGGCTCCAAATGTGAATGGTCTATCCTTCAGCTTAGGCAAATAATGACCACAACGGGGAGATCCTGAGAAGAACCCCCTGGGGAAAGAAAAAATACATTGGAGTCCTAACACCCAGTACCTCAGTATGTGACCTTATTTGGAATTAGGGTCTTAACATATGTAGTCAAGTGAAAACAAGGTCATTAGAGTGGATTCTAATCCAATATGACAGGTATCCTTATAAAAAGGGAACCTTTGAACACACACATGGAAAATGACATTTTCAGATCAAGACAGAGATAGAGGCGATACTTCTACAACCCAGGGAATGTCACCGATTGACAGCAAATCACTAGGTGCTAGAAGAAAGCCATAACACAAGTACTTTCTCATAGCCCTTAGAAGAAACTAAGACGGCATCTCATACTTCTAGCCTCCAGAACTGTGAGATAATATGCCTCTTTTGTTTGAGCTGCCTCAGTTTGTAGTACTTTGTTACTGCAGCCCTAGCAAATTGATACACTTGTCAAAATAGTGCCCCCCAACTTTGGGAAGAATTTCTTTTTAATTATTATTATTTAGTGTGTATGTTGTTCTTGTTTTTAATTGCCAGAGAGCACATGAGCTGTCCAGAGAGAGAAAATGAGAGAAAGAGAGCACCCTCCAATGAGGCATGGTCATACCACAATTCATTTTCTCCATTTCTCTATCCTGTCAGGACTTTGGTTCTACACATGTAAGGCCCAGCATGATTCTCAAGTTTCTGGTGCTAGGATTTGAAACTTGGTCAGCCATGTGGAATCCAGCTCTCTTTGCACAGCACTCAACTGTGCTACCAGCTCAGCCCTTTTGTTTGGGGTTTTTTACTTGTGTTTACTGGCCCTCAAAAATGAAAGGCCTTGTAACTACTACATATTTTCTAATTATATAGCTCTCAAATTCTTTTGATCTTATTATGCTCTTAAAAACTGGGTCGCAGGAATCAGCAGTAAGCGTAATGGCTATGTTGCTGGACTCCCACATAGTCGACCGTGGTTCACGTCCCAGACCCGGTGGCTTAGAACTCACGCCAGGTGCCTGTGCGTGCGTGCCCAAGATCCCGAGAGGAGAATGGAGGAGAAGGGATTGCGGCGTGACCATCCCCCCCGGGGGGTGATTTCTCGCTTTCTATCTCTCTGTCTCTCTCTGTCTGTCTGGCAAGTGCACGCGCCCTATAGCGAAAACCTTTCAAAAAAAAAAAACTGGGTCGCCAAAATTTCTTATTTTTGTGTATCACATCTATTTCTATTTATCATACAAAAAATTAAAACCAAGAAATTAAAAATATATATATATAATTTATTTAATGTTCAGAATTAATTAAGAAGATCATACTTTTATATGTTTATCCTTTAGGAAGAATCCAATATGGTGAAATCTCATCTCATGAGAGAATTAAGTTCTAATTTATTTAAGCTGGTCCCAAAGTACAGTGGGTAAATACTGTGTATTGTGGTGTCAGATCCCACATGATTGATTGCTATTTGAATCCTGTCCCTGACTGCTTTGAATAAAAGCTGAGCACATGTGGATGCATGCCCCAAATCCTGACAAGATGAAGAAATGGAGGGAAAGAATTGTGGCATGACCATGCCGAATTGTGGTGTTTTTTGTTTTGTGGTTGTTGTTTTCTTTCTCTCTCTGGCAAGCCCACATACTCTCTGACAATAAAAAAGTAAATACATAAGAATAATTTATTTAAAATAACAATAACAAACCTACTACATGTTAAGGTAAATATTTTCATTTTCCAGAATAGATTAGTGAGGAGAGTGACATTGTTTCATATTTATGCAAATCTCCTTAATGAATGATTTCATAGAAAACAACTGGATATTACAGCAGGTTCTACATTCAATCTGTTGCAATCTCACACCTCATGTAGCCTCTGGAAAACTCCACTGTACACTTGTGAGAAAACACAAATGAAAAAAAGCGAACAAGTCTAAGTCTTTACTTATGAAAGAGTGGTTTGACCTTATAAACCACATTTTGAAAATTGTTGTTCTAATTCAACCTCCAACCTAGTACTGGCAACTTCTGTGTACTAATATTAAGCTTCTGCCAAAAACTAGGTCATTTACCAAATTAACATCCTACGAGTCCACAGATAGGTAAACAGATTTCCCAGAAAAAAACAAACTTTACTATTAGCTGACTATTTTGGGTTAATACTAGGTTCCTTAGGGTTGTTCATATCTCTCACAGGGTGTGTGTATTGAAATATTATAATGAAAAAAGAACAGACTTTGTATCCAAACATGCTGGAGTTAAAATACCAGTTCTATCTACTGTGTTAGTTAATAACATTAAGCTCTAGTTTCTTCACCTGTTTTATTTTTCAGGATTATGTAAATCAACTTTTAAATAGTTTTAACATAGTGTTTGGAATGTAGGATGGATTGAATAAATGTTAATGCCCTTCCTCTTTTCCAGTCAGAAGCCTTTCATTGGTTAACTTCATCCATAGGAAGCCTTCCTGATGGCCCCATTATGATCATTATTGCAATACTGAAGTTTAACACCTGTTGATGCACCAGAGAAGTCAGTATGAGATATTAGAGCTGCAAACCCAGAGTATTTAGAAAGGTTGGGGAGAAGTTAGACAGAAAACATTCCCTGCAACTACCTGCAAGCTCTTCGACTCGTTTCAGCTACAGGTATAGCCTGTCTGTGCTAAGCCATTAGCTCTTCATGTCAACATGGATTGCTTTTTCAATCTGCTGCCGAGGTGGGAGGTACAGAGCAAGCCACTGAGGAACTTATCATATGTTCTGAAAGAAGAGCAAAGGAGGATAAGGCTCAGATTCCCCTGGGAGGAGTGTCCCTGTGTGACTCTCAGTGAACCACCAGCCTAAGGACACTGGGCTGGACTGCCTCACGCCACTGAAAGAAGGAAGGGGATGTTAACTTATGTTTTGCTCATTTGCCTAGTCATAATTATGATTAAAAGTGTCCTCTCATTTAGAGTTCACAGGAAACCAGGGAGTGGTTACTATTGTTTACATGTTCTAAATAAGTAGTGAAGCTCAGAGGATTGAGTGTTTCATACTTAGCTTGTAAGTAGTACAGGTAGTGTTTAAACTTCAGCTTGTTCAGTTTTTAAGTCCAGGCTCTTAGTGTTGTACTACTTGGTTCCTTGAAGAATTTTTCCTGAAAAAGAGCCCAAAAGGTCAATGTTAAGCTTTAAGCAAGTGCCTGTTTTCTAAGTGGTAATTCTGTGCCCTGGACTATTGTGAATATTTGAGGTTTTCTTCCAGCCCATCAAGACACACAGGTGAGAATAGGGCTTATTATAACTGAGTCACTTATCAACTCAGTTAAGGAGTCATTTTCCTTGAGTATTCTGGGGAGGATTAAAAAAAAAAAACTCTAAGGACACAAATAAACGGAAAATGCTTTTGATTGCCAGCAATTGTACCCAACAATGTTTTAAGATTCAGTTCAAGCATGTTGTTCAATACTTGATTTATTCTGGATAGCATTACTAGTGTGTGCTCCTGCATTTGGAGTTACTCTTAACTGTAAAGAGGCTTGGATTTCTACATAGACACTTCAGGCCAAAAGACAGCAATTAAAAAAATCAATCCAGACAACCATTCGTTTACAACACCAACCTGAAGAAGAGTAATGTAAGATAAACACAAGATGCCTCTGACCTGTATTGGAACACTCTGTCCCATACTGGCTACAAGCAAACTGAGCTTTGCTAAAACAACCACAGGTACCCAGCAGGAGTGGTATCATTCCAAATCACTGCTGTTAATATACCTACTTATTATCCAAACAACCCTGAAACAAGAGACCTGAAATTGGCTGTTTGGGGTGTTGCTTCCTGCTGCCAGGAGGTGGTGCGTTTGACTTAAAAGACACTGAACCACAGTTAGATTAAAAATTTAGATCAAAACATTCAAGGGAATGAGACAATGAGAAAAAGAATTGTTTGTAGCAAACAACCTACTTTTCCTAAAACGTATTTTGAGTCAAGCCTAGTAATTGATTTTAAAAAAATGATCAGGCAAACTAATGTAAAGAACATTTTGGTGAATACATTAAAAAAAAATCAAAACCCTCAGTTCAGAAACGTATTTGCATTGCTGACAGCATTGTAGGGACATGTCAAAATATTTATTAATCATGAAGTCTTATACTAATAATGGACATATATTTATTTTATACTATATTTTCATTATGACTTATATGTAAGAGGTGATTAATAATATAGTCTAACTTGGTTTTGAACCCATGATATGAAAACTCTGTGGAATTAAAACCATAATAAAGGATTTTTTTTTTTTTTATTTGTTTCTTCTGTGAGAGAGACAGAGAGACACACACCCAACAAGGTCTTCATGCTGTAGTCTATCCCCAGCCTCAGCCAGACCAGATCACAGGCATATGGGAGTCTACCAAGTATGGGGAGGCCACGGACATGAACCTGGAATCTCCCTGTGTGGATCCAGCATCAAGGGTATTGTTCACTGCTGCACCACAAATCAGGTTTTATCTTATTTATTTGTTTGTTTTGGAGAGTTTTTTTCTATAGGGAATGTGTGCTTGCCAGAAAGACAGAGACAGAGAGACAGAAAGTGATAAATCACCCCCCAGAGGGGATGGCCACACTGCAATCCCTTCTCCTCCATTCTCCTCTCGGATCTTGGGCATGCATGCACATGTGCCCGGCGTGAGTTTAAGCCACCAGGTCCCACAGTCAATTACATGGGAATCCAGTGACATAGCCATTATGTTAACTGCTGGTCCCACACCAGTCAGTTTTAAAGATATTAAGTACATTCCAAAGTATTTCAGTATTGCCAAGAAGAATGCCTAAAAAACAGAGAGTGTGAACACAGTGAGGGTAAGAAAAAAATGAAAACAAACACCAAAAAATTATCATTAAAGGAGAAATCGAGAAAACGAACCTGAGGTAATTATGGAAATGGTAATAATTTTAAGTAGAGCGGGTATAGTTAAAATACAAAGTGAGACCAGCAGATGGCATAATGATTACATTGCTGGACTCCCACATAGTCGACGGTGGTTCAAGTCCCAGACACTGTGGTTTAAAACTTGCACCGGGTGAGTGTGCATGTGTGCCCAAGATCCTGAGAGGAGAATGGAGGAGACAGGATTGTAGCATAGCCATCCACCTCTGGTGGATGATTTCTCGCTTTCTGTCTCTCGCTGGTAAGCACATATGCCCTATAGCAGAAATCTCTCAAAAAAAAAAACAAAAAGATATAAAGTTAACTGTGGAGAGCCAAATAGTGGCATAGGGGTAAAATACTATGCTCTGTGGGGCAAGCTCACATGGGAAGGTTCCTGGTTCAAACCTGGAGACCTCCTGAGTACATACATCACTCACTTGCCCATGACCAACGGCTGGCTGAAGGATAGGGCATGGACGACAGTGTCAGGACCTTATTGTGGGTGCTCTCGTCCTCATGGAAGAGAAATGGGTTTCTCTTACTCATGGAAAAGACGAATGAATGAGTAATCAAAAAATTGTGTAAAACAGAATTACCTCTATTTCATGCTTCCCAATGTTTGTCTAAGGTTAGTGAAGCAGAGTTTGGGGAATAAAGTTCTATGGTAGCTTGTGTTCTGGGGAGGAAGGGACTGCGACATGTTTTAACTCTGTGCTGGCCATATTGGTCGCTGTTAGCCACATGTAGCTAATGAACACTTAAATGTGGTTAGTCATTGAGATATTCTGTTGGTGTAAAATACATACTGATGCTGAAGACTCAGTGCCAAAACATGTAAAATATCTCATTAATAATTTATTCTATTGACTACATGTTAAAGTGATAATGTTTTAGATATTGGATTAACTAAATTTATTATTATATTAATTTTATCTGTTTATTTTTATTTATTCCTTAATGTGACTACCAAAAAATTGAAAATTATATGTCTGGCTAACATCTGTATTGGGCAGTTGCGGTCTACACACTTGCCTAGGAGAAATTAACTGGAATAAATTCTAGCATTCATAAAAAGAGGAGACAACTTGCCTACCTTTTTTTTTTTTTTTTTCCTATCTTTCAGCTGCTTGGGCACTATATGCCATTGCAGATAGGAGCCGGGACAAGGAAGGCAGCGTAGAAGGCCAGGAGCAGAGGGCTACTGTTATTCCCTAGCATCAACTGCAACAAAGTACCATTTTTGGAAGGCAGTATGTTGATGCTAGAGTTAAGTTTATAATGACTGTGAAAAAAACTGTGAAAGCAAGACTAACCAACATAACAGATATTCACTAATTTCCCTGCCAGCTAACAGCCCATTTCCTTTCATTAGCTTCCTCCCCACCCCCAACACATACCTACCTAGTTTCTAGGTCAGGTGCCCTGTTACAGGAACCCAATTAGGCCTGTGATTAGAATTTTTGTATGGTCCTTTCTAGAGGTATACTTTTTTTTAAGCTTTACTTTTTTTTCAGTGTTGCTAGAAGGTATGTGTACTCACTAGAAAAAGAGGGAGAGAAGGTGAGGAATAACCCTCTATAGGGGATGGTCACTCCACAATCCCTTCTCCTTCGTTTCTCCTTTTGTGATTTTGGGCATGCAGCACGAGCCCAGTGTGCAGTCAGCCATAGGTGAGATCCAGTTGCCTTCACCACCACACCACCGGTTGGCCTTAGAAGTACACTTCCGACAGTATGACTCTATTAGCATTCTGAGTAGCAAGAAATTTAATATTATAGGAAGTTTCATTCTAAGATCTCAAGGATGGTCTCTAGTCAAGGAAGTAGATAATGAGGTGATGTTGAACACAAGGCAGAATATCAGTGGGGATTGTTGAAGAGAGAGCCTAGACAGAAAGCCAGAAATTTATTCTCAAGGTAAACAGAAACGAACAAAAAGGTAGACTTTCAAGGACCTATCTAAATATATAAGAGTAGAGAAGGACCTGCCATAAGTTGGGTCACATATTTGTTACACGTGTGGGTAGAAGATGAGAAACTGACTCATTTGAAAGGCAGGAAGGGTTACCAGAGTTTAGTGTGGCTAACCCAGAGAAGGACAGGAGTCCTGTAAAGCACAGTATAGTTCAACAATGTGTATCGATTCTAGGGAGTGGTCATTTAAGTGTGAGTGCCAGGTTTAGCACTCTAACTTTGCAAACAGTAGTTTAGAGGGCTAAAGGAACAGTTTTGGATAGCCTTCTAATGTATGAATATATCCTAATTGCCCCAATTATCTCCCTCTTGATAGTTGTTTTCAGTTAGCAGCTACAGTAAGCTGTTATTTCCATTGGAGAATCTCAAAGTTGAGAAAAGTTGATCAGAATTACTCTCCAAAAGATTCATAGTAGTGGACGCTCCCAGAAATAAGAGTGCACATTTTACCATCATGACCTTCCAGTATTAGATGTTTCCGATTGTTTTAATTTTTGCCAGTCCAGTAAAGAAAAAATTGGTATTTGATTGTTTGGTATTCCCACAAGGGAGATTTTGGAGCTGAGTATTGTTTATTTTCTTCTTCATTTCCTTCTCAATGAATTATTTCTTCTGCTCATTTTACTGTGTTTATTAAAAAATCAAGTTATAAAAAGTTTTTAGAGTTGTTAACCTAGTGTTCTGTGTTTTACAAATACTTTCTTGCAGTCTCTTTTTATCTTTCGAAATTTTATGGTAACTTTCGCCATATAAATATTTTATACTTTGGCATAGTTGTATGTATTACTCTTTTATCTTACAGCTTCTAACGTTCCTGCCTTGTTTGAGAAGTCTCTTCCACCCTAAATTCATGACAGATTTCTTTTGTTTTATGTTTTTTATTTCAATCTTCAAGATTTCTAGAATTTATTTTGGTATATGGTAAAACGTAGAACTCTAACTTTCTACCTCTCATCTAGATAGTTGTTGTTAGTTCTTACTAATTTATGAGTGAAACCATCTTTCTCTCAAAACTGAAATACCACTTTATATTTTAATATTCCCCATGCAGTTGAATTTTTCTAGATTCTCTATGTATTTGTCTTTCTTATACTAATCCTTTTTGTCTGATCTGCCTTTTTATTACACATTGTGGTAAATTTTATGATCTGATAACACAAATTATCTGTTAACCTGTTAATCTCTTTTTTTCTAAAATGACTTAACTATTCTTACATATGAATCTTCCAATATGAATAATGAAACATGATGTTATTCCATTGTATGCTAAAAAACTTACATAAATATCTTTAAAATTGATTTTTAAGTGTTTCATTATTTTGACTTTCATGTTGGTTGTGGAAAGAACTTTCAAAGTAGATTGTAGTAGCTCTTCTGCTGAAGCAGTTTGTATTGGCTCTTTCATGTAAGCTGATGAAAATTATTTCTGAAAGTATATTTGTTTTGTTTTCTCTGCAAATGGAGTGAATAAAAGGAGAAAAATAAGGAAGAGAGAAGGTTGCATTAGCTATGGTTCAAATTTTGTATGGATTCAGTTCTAAGCTAATTTAGATTTCTGAGTGGTTATCAGAAACTAAATAAAATTCTTTGTATTTTCTCATCATCTTGCCCTCCCCTTTTCTGTTTCTATCGCTTGCTTTTATTATACAGAATATTTGTATCATTTTGTCAATGAACATCAGCCCTAGGCAATTTATACCATGAAGTTTGGTTAACCTTATGGGGAAATAACGTGTGTATGACTTTACTGAACTCGCCACTGCTGACAAGAAATGAATCTTCATGGCCTGACTCAACTAGGTTACTGGGTGATGATAACTTTGTCAGCATTTTATCAGAAAAAAATTGAAGAATTCAATAAGATTTCTAGGAAAGAGCAACTGAGTAAAGAGAACTCAGATGACAAATTTTAAGAGCTTGCTTTTATAGTTGCATTAAAAAAGTTTTCTGAGGCCAGCAGGTGGCATGGTGAAGGGTGCTGGACTTTCACATGGCCGACCAAAGTACAAGCCCCATACCTGGTGGCTTGCTTTCTCACTTTCTCTCTGTTTTTCTCTGTCTCTCTCTCACTGTATCCCTCTCTGGTCAAATTTAAATAAATAAATAAATACATAAAGTCAAGTAAAATAATTCTTTTAAAAATTTTCTGATCTTTTTGGAGACTTTTTAAGGACAATACTAGTATGTTTAATTTTTGCTTGCAGGTCTACTTGAGAGAATTTTTTCTGTAGAGGATGAAACTTAATTTAGGAAGGTGTCAATACTTATAAAAGATGTAGGAAAATATATATAGTTTTAAATGCAAATATATTAAATATGTAGAACATCAAATAATGAAAAATATTACAAATGACAACATTTGCGGTCAAATCAATATAATTGTTGCATGAATGAACAGACACAGACTATCCAGACATTATTCATTTATACATTTCCTAAACCAGATTCTGTATCCAGAAAGTACTCGATGTCCATTAATCTTCCTTTAAAAACAAAATTGCAGAAGTAAATCATGCATATTACTTTTAAAATTCCACTGGTTGTAAAGTGAAAGTCCTCCACATCTTCCCGCCCTTGTTTGCAGATCTCACTGTCAGGAATAACTGTTTACATTTATGTATCCATTCTGGAAACATTGTATGCCATATATACACACATACCCTAAAAGTAGACTGTAAGTCCTTCTGAAACTGACGTTCTTAATCTGTATTTCTGATTTACTTAATTAGTTTTAGTGACTGAAGTGTCAGTCTATAAACTTACTCATTTTCCTATTGGTTTCCTACTCTCCACTACTGAAAACAGTACATCAGTGAGTAGTTTTACACCCCTTTGTGTCGGATTACCTGTAAGATAAAGTCCTAGAAATCTAACGCATCTCGCAAATCAAACTTTGGACAGAGGCTGCTGCTTTAGTGCTTTTGAACTGATCAGTTAGGTAAATCAATGCTGCTCTCTCTGAGGATGATTTGGTGGTAACATCAATCATAACAAAGGTCGGAGTCGTTTAATTTCCTTTTTTCCATCTCAAGAGCATGTCTAGTTCTTTCCTTCCATTCTTAAAGCTCCTAGGCGTTTCCCTTCAGAAACGTGAGACATTTTGGATCAAGGCTATCATCGTGGTCCTCGGTAAAGGAAAATGACACCATGGTCCCAAGAACCTCAAACTACAGTACATAATCATCTTGTAAAATGACCCCTTATGGGGGGTTGGTGAGATACTTATTGCTTTCTATTCCTTATACTCAAATATTTTCTTCAGGGCGAGGAACTGATCCGACCACTCAGTTTCAATTTGTGGTCGGAACGGGAGTGACCGGTACGCTTGGCTTTTTGTCTCTCTCTAATAAGAGACGGAAAGAGATCTGAAGTCCTGACGGTGTCGGTACGGGAGCCGGGAAGCCCGAGAAAACCTGTAGTACATGCGAAGGGTTTGTTTTTCTCTACTGCTTCCTCCGGGGTGAGAGGAGGGGGGAAAAACCTCCCCGCTCCCTCAGAGTTTTCTTTCCCTTGACACTGAGGAAGGAACCTTGGCTCGCCTCTGTCCCTGTCAGAAACAAGATCCTCGCAAAGCCACCCTGTGCCGGGCCTTCTCGGAGGACCCACACAGGGAGCGACACCAGACAAAGGAAACTAAAGCGAAGGGACACGGCAGCGACAGAGCGGAGCAGCACAGATGGGGCGAGCCGCAGTCCCCCCACCGCCAGCGCCTCCTCACCGCCGGCGCCTCCTCGGGCCCCGCCCCCTAGGAGCGGGGGGCCGGTCACTCCTTCCGGGTTCGAACGGAAGTGGGTGAATTTGAATCCTGTGGGCCGTTGGATGGATCCGCTAGCGTTTGGCTTGCGGCGACGCAGCGCGAGAAGGGAAAAGTGACGCGGCTGTTCTGGAACTTTTTTCGAGAGTGCCTTGGTGAGTAGATGGGGAACGGGAAGCCGAGCAGTATTCGAGGGAGAGGAGCGGGACCGTCGGACAGGACAGGGGCCGAGAGGCCTCGGAGCACCTTTGCGGGTGTCCGGCGCTGGGCCCGGCGTGGAGACCGGGGAGACGCGGAGCTGGGGGACGTCTCCGCGGCCAGCGCGCCTGACGCCCGCGCTCTCCAGCCAGCCCTGGGTCTGGGGGTGTGGAGCCCACCGGCCTCGAGGTTAAGCCTTGTGCCCACGCTGTTTCTGCGATGTTTTTTCGCAGTCGCAGTTCAGTATTTTCACCCATTTGTCTCGAATGCTGACTCTTCAGCAGCACTTGAATCTCACTGCGAAAGCGTTACTCAGGTGAAAGAATCTTCCTTTATTAAAGGTGGAATGTTGGGAGCAGGTTTAAAATAAAAGATGCTCTCTGGCTGCGAGTTGCTCAGAAGAGTGTTACCCGGAGCCGTCTTTATTACCGTGGACTGAAATGACAGTCTTTGAAATGCCTGGTAGGGATTTAAACTGAAATCCGAGTATCCTTTGTATTTAAACCCGGATATTTTTCTTTCACGGTTGACATTTTTCATGTACCGCAAAAATCCGAGACTCTTGCTCATTTAAACTGGCTATAGTAACAGCGGTGATTCTCAAGGGTCTTAGTTTGCAAACAATAGGGATAAGGTTTAGTTCCACCGCCCTTCCTTTTCACTCCCTCCATTCATTGGCCGACTGGGTTATTGTGGGAGTCATTTTAGAAGTACTCTACTAATGCTTCGAGAATCGGATTTTTAGGGGGGAGTGTCATTTGATTTTTTGGTTTTGGTTTATTTTTAATGATCTAACTCACATATCAAAACTAACATTGTAGTAAAGTCATACCTTCTGAAATAGTTTAAATGTATATCCTAAATGTAAATTATAAATGAGTACTTTAAAAGTGTAGAGGTGTTTTTATCTTACCTCTTGAAAAACTGTCAGACTAATTTTGTGTTGCTTTATAAGAAGAGATATTTTGAGTTCTTTTTAAGATTTTTAACACTGGGGTATTGTTCCATATAAATGTCTTTTTAAAAGTAAGACTTAATACAGAATAGAGATAACTTTTTTATCCAGTGCTGGGCTACTCCCACTCCTTCATCCCTGCTAATGAACTGTTGTTTTTGGTATTAGTCAAGAAGACTAGATTTAAATAGTTATGAGTATTAAAATAGAAACAGTGTTCCTAAGACTGCAAGAAAGACATTAGCTACACTGTAGACAGACAGCTATTCTGCTTGTTTCATGTATAGTACCAACAAGTGTTAATTAAAAAAAAAAATAGTATTGATCTGCATATCCTAATCTGTTCCTCTCCCCTGCCTGGACCCCTTCTATTGAGTTTTTGCTTTGTATGTCTGCGTAAAGGAGCCTCAAACTTTATTGTGTGCACCTTACCTGAGGGTTCTTAAAAGCTGATTCCTGAACTTCAGATCTCAGATTCCCAATCTGTAGGTCCGAAGAATGAGGTTGATAAATCTGCATATTTAACCGAAAGGTTAAAATATTCTATCATAGTTTTTAAAAATGCTGATTTAATCTTTCCTAGAGAAGATGAGAAACTAGAGCCAATTTGTCTTGATTTGAATCCCACCTCTGCCACTTTTAGCTGTGTGATCCCAGGCAAGCTGTTTGGTCTCCCTTCCCCGTGTGTTAGTTCCCTGAAGTGTATAATGGGGATAATACTTACATAGTAGGAATATTGTAAGAATTAAATACATTAATAAAGACTTGAAAATACTACATGGTATGTAGTAACAGATGTATATGTTTTCTGTTATAAGGAGTTACTGAGCATTATACAAACCGCATTACATACATTATTTTATTAGTCTTCACAGTAGCACTGAGGTAGCTATTATTTTTTTTAGATTTAAAAAAAAAAAGAGAAGGTTCTGTAATATACTCCCACACAACTAATATAACATTTGAACTAAGGTCAGAATTTTTTTTGTTAATGTTTCTTGTTCCAAATGTTGCTCCATAAAAAATCTGATAGTATCCCGTTATCTACAATATATAACTCAAATTTCTTAGGGTTTTTTCTCTTCTTTCTTTCTTTCTTTCTTCTTCTTCTTCTTCTTCTTTTTTTTTTTTTTTTTTTTAACAAAGCCTTCCAGAGTCTGGTTCCAATCTCTATTTCCAAGCATCATCGTTGGAATACTCTGTCACTCTTTTCCAACCTGCTGATATGCCATGAAAACTACTGTAATTCTCCATCTCTATTTTCTTACCTCTTTTTATGCATATTTGCTATTAGCCTTCTTATTTCTCCTTAAGATTTTACTCAAATGGGTTTCAAGATTTCCCCAGGCAGAGTGCTCCATCTTCAGTGCAATTTTGTTATAAATATACTACAGCACTAGGCTGAGGGCTCTTGTTCTCTTTATCTGTTTGTCTGCGTGCTTAGTACAACAGCAAGTGTCCTTATCCTCTGAAACTGTATGTTCAATGAGTATTTGTTATTTAACATTATGTCTTGTGTAAATGACTGAAAAGTGTTCTTTAAAGAACTTTTATTTCCCCCCTTATATGATAAAATATAATTCAGTATAGTTAGTAGATATTTTAATAATAGCAAATGGTTTATAAACTTAACAAATTTGGGGAAAAATGTATTGAAATCTTAGTTTCAAAAGGCATTTCAAGTGGGAAAAAAGTCAAGAGCAATACTTGTTAATGTTTGTGAGATTCTAAAAGCTGTAAACATGCTTTCTCATTTAATCCTCAAAACCATTTTACTATCTGCATATTAGGATGATGTAACCGATGTGCCAAAAGATTACACAGTTGTAAAAATGTATGTTTTTAAATCTTTAATTTCCTTTTGGCATAATTTTTTGTTTAGTTTTAATTTTTTAAATTATGAGTGATATATTTTAAAAGTAATAAAAAAGTCACAATTCAAAAAATTTTAAAACAGAAAAGTTTACCTTTTCTTTTCACTTTGAACAGCTAAGATTTGCCCACAGTTTTCTTTAAAGAAACTGCCAAATATTGTAGGGATTGAATTTAAGCACCAGTGGTAGGATTTGTCTGAGGAGCACATAGATCTTTTTTATTTTTTAATTTTATTCATCATTATTAATTTTTTCTTTTTGGAGAGGTTTTTGCCATAGGGCACGTGTGCTCACCAGAAAGACAGAGAGACAGAAAGCGAGAAATTACCCGCCCAGGGGGGGATGGCCATGCCACAATCCCTTCTCTATTCTCCTCTCAGGATCTTGGGGGCGCACACACACACACACACACACACACACACACCCGGCATGAGTTTAAGACACCGGGTCTGGGACTCAAACCATGGTCGACTACATAGGAGTCCAGTGACATAGCCATTATGCTAACTGCTGGTCCCAATTTTTTTTTTTTTTTTTTTTTTTTTAATTTAGCCAGAGAGAGAGGGAAAGTGAGAAAGCAAGCTGCTGGGTCTGGAACTTGAACCATGGCCAACCATGTGAGAGTCTAGCGCCTTAACCACCATGCCATCTGCTGACCCCAAGAGCACACAGATCTTAATATGCTCTTGTTGCACACCCTACCCCTTCTTTAGCCAGAGTAATATAGGTATTTAAAATAGAGCTACATATCTGATACAGGCCTGGTCATTCACATTATTTCTTCTTGAATTTTGGAGTTAGGATATCACAAGACTATTAGACGAAAAGTTGGAAAAGTCTTTATATGTGTTGGGATAGCATATTGGAATCATGAAAAAGCATAAGGATCCAAGGAAGCTCTATTCTTGTGTGCATTCCTCTTTTCCCAGCTCTCCAGCTTCTTAGGATCTTGAGAGTGTGTGCTTGGCATGTTTTCAGGCTTTGAGATCTGAACCTGTGGTTGGCATGTGGATTCCCTCCTTGCATTATAAATTACAGACTGCACTACTGTAGATGAACCTCATTGTAGTTGTAATTTGTATATTGTAGTTTTGATTTGTATATTTCTAATGCTAATCATGTGCTTGTTGACTATGTGAATTTTTTTTTTTTTTGAGAAATACCTATTCCGATCTTTTGTCCATTTTTAAATCGAGTTACCCATCTTTTTGTTGTTGAATTGTAGCAATTTCTAGATACTAGACCTTTATTAGGTATATGAATTCCAAATATTTTTTCTCCCATTCTATGGATTATCTTTTCATTCTCTTGATTCTATCCTTCAATGACAAAAGTTATAGATTTTTAAAGAATTATTTATTTTATTTACTGTTATTGTTATTGTTATTTCGGTTTGACCAGAGACATAAGAAAGTGAGAAAACAAGCCAGCAGGTCCAGTCCTCAAACTGCAGTCAGCCAAGTGGAGTCTAGCACTTTAACCACCGTACCACCTGCCGGCCCCACAAAAGTTACAGACTTTAACGAAGTTCAAATTTTTTTTTCTTTTTTTTTTAATCACATTTTTGGAGTCATATCTCAAAAGCTGTTGCCAAATCCAAGGTTTGAAATGTATTCCTATTTTTTTTTAAGAATTACTTACCCAATTTGTTAATTAATTAATTTAAATTTGCTATGGGGCACACATACTTACCAGAGGGGGAGAGAGACAGAGAGAGGAAGAGAGAGAGGGAAAGTGAGAAAGCAAGCCACCAGGTCTGGGATTTGAACTACAGTCTGCCATGTGGAAGTCCAGTGCCTTAATCACCACACCACCTACTGGCCCCCTACATTTTCTTCTAAGAATTTTATTGTTTTGGCTTTTACATTTAGATCTTTGATCTATTTTGATTTAATTTTATGTATATAGTTTAAGGTAGAAGTCCAACTTCATTCATTTTTATGTTGCTGTTCCATTTGTCCCAGCATCATTTGTTGAAGAAACTGTTCTTTCCCCATTGAATGGTCTTGGCATCTTTTTTGAAATCATTTGACCATTGATGTGTGAGTTTATTTCTGAACTTTATTCTTTTCTGTTAATATATCTATCCTTAATGCCAATACTACACTGTTTTGATTACTGTAGGTTTGTAGTGAGTTTTGAAATTGGGACGTCTAAATCTTTCCATTTTTTTGTTTTGTTGTTGGATTGCTTAGACTCTTCCTGGCCCTTTGCAATGATACATAACTTTCAGGACCAGCCTTTCCATTCCTGAGGAAAGGCCATTGGGATTTTTGAGAGGGATTACATAGAATCTTGGGACTAGCAGTTAGCATAATGGCTATGTCGCTGGATTCCCATGTAGTCGAGCACGGTTCGAGTCCTGAACCGATGGCTTAAACTCACGCCGGGTGCGGGTGTGTGCGTGCCCAAGATCCCAAGAGGAGAATGGAGGAGAAGGGATTGCGGCATGGCCATCCCCCCTCGGGGGTGATTTCTAGCTTTCTG